TAAGTGATAATGCATAATGGAACACATGTGTCAGACCCTGTTCCATGTTTTGTGTGTTTTGCTCCCCAAGTGTTAGTCCTTCCTGTTCCCATTGTGTTCCCCGATTAGTTCTTCTTTTGTTCCCAGCTGTGTTTAGTTTATTATCCTCATTCCCCTGTGTTTATAAGCCCCAGTCTGTTCAGTTTGGTTTTGTCGGGTCTACTTGTTGAATGTATATGTCTACCCTAGCTAAGTATGTTTTCCTTGCTCCCTGGATGTGATTAAAATCTATCCATGAGGAATAATACCTGTAACACAACTTTTATATATAAACCAAATGGTATTCCAAGAACAACTGGACAGATTATAAAGCAACAATGTTCAAATCAACAATTATGTTCTATCTTACACAGTAACTAACAATAAGGCCAATTACTTTGGGTTGTAATGTAGGGACCATCACCTTGCAACTGAACATCAGAAACATGACCAAAAGACCTGGAGTTGATTCTGGAAGGAAGATAAGACCATAAGGGTGACTATCATGTAAAAACAAAGTGTGTAAGTAGTGGAGACATACTATGCTGCCATGCCAGGTGGCTACATCAGCGGATGAGAAATACAAGATATGAAAATATTGACACATACAAATTAACAGGAGTAGGTGCCAGAAAAGACATCTTACAGCAGCAAAAGGTAACTTACGGCATCCTCACACAACAAACACTTTTTAAGACAACTTAAATCTCACCTGTAGTAAGTCTTGTAACAAGTAATGTACTACAACCTTTGGAGCATGAAAAAAATCATTTCGGGGGACTTACAGTATTATTTTCATGAAAATATTTGTGTACTGTACACATATGAACGGAAGGTATTGGCAAAATTTCACCTGTAGTAAGTCAGTCTAGTAACTACAAATGTACTACAGACTTTGGAATATGAAAAACCCATTTGTTGAATTGCAGTAATTTTTTCATAAAACTATTTGTGTACTGTAAATACAGTAAGGGAGATATTGGAAAACTTTCACCTGTAGTAAGTCAGTCTCGTAACTACAAATGTACTACAGCCTTTGGAACATGGCAAAACCCTTTTGGTCAATTACAGTAATTGTTTTCGAAGATTAATTATGTACTGTAATGTACAGTAAGGGTGATATTGGCAAACTTTCACCTGTAGTAAGTCAGTCTGGCCACTAGGAATGTACTACAGTCTTTGGAATATGAAAAAAACAGTTTCAGTGAATTACAGTAATTGTTTTTTAATAATAATTATGTACCGCACGTACAGCAAGGGAGATATTGCCATAATTTCACCTTTAGTAAGTCAGTCTTGTAACTAAAAATGTACTACACCCTTTGGAACATTCAAAAACCCTTTTGGTGAATTACAGTAATTGTTTTTTAAGAATAATTATGTACTGTACGTACAGTAATAAAGGAATTGGCAAAATTTCAGCTGTAGTAAGTCAGTCTTGTAAATACAAATGACTGTTTTTTGCAGATTAATTATGTACTGTATGTACAGTAAGGGTGATATTGGCAAAATGTCAGCTGTAGTAAATCAGTCTTGTAACTACAAATGTGCTACAGCCTTTGGAACATGAAAAAACCATTTTGGTGAATTACAGTAATTGTTTTCTAAGTATAATTATGTACTGTATGTACAGTAAGGTATATATTTGAAAAATTTCAGCTGTAGTAAGTCCACTAGGAATGTACTACAACCTTGGAACATGAAAAAAGCCTTTTGGTGAATTACAGTAATTGTTTTTTAATAATAATTATGTACTGTACATACAGTAAGAAAGAAATTAGCAAAATTTCACCTGTAGTAAGTCAGTCTGGCCACTAGGAATGTACTACAGCCTTTGGAACATGAAAAAAGCCTTTTGGTGAATTACAGTAATTGTTTTCTAAGAATAATTATGTACTGTATGTACAGTAAGGGAGATATTGGCAAACGTTCACCTGTAGTAAGTCAGTCTGGCCACTAGGAATGTACTACAGCCTTTGGAACATGAAAAAAGCCTTTTGGTGAATTACAGTAATTGTTTTCTAAGAATAATTATGTACTGTATGTACAGTAAGGGAGATATTGGCAAACGTTCACCTGTAGTAAGTCAGTCTGGCCACTAGGAATGTACTACAGCCTTTCGAACATAAAAAAACCCATTTTGTAAATTACAGCAATTCTTTTCTGAGAATAATTATGTACTGTATGTACAGTAAGGGTGATATTGGCAAAATTTCACCTGTAGTAAATCAGTCTTGTAACTAAAAGTGTACTACAGTCTTTGGAACATGAAAAAACCCTTTTGGTGAATAACAGTAATTGTTTTCTTAGAATAATTACCTTTTGGTCAATTACAGTAATGGTTTTTGAAAATTAATTATGCACTGTATGTACAGTGAGGGTGATATTGGCAAACTTTCACCTGTAGTAAGTCAGACTTGCCACTAGGAATGTACTACAACCTTTGAAACATGAAAAAAACCCATTTGGTGAATTACAATAATTGTTTTCTTAGAATAATTAAGTACTGTACATACAGTAAGAAAGAAATTGGCAAAATTTCAGCTGTAGTAAGTCAGTCTTGTAAATACAAATGTACTACAGCCTTTGGAACATGAAAAAACCGTTTTGGTCAATTACAGTAATTGTTTTCTTAGAATAATTAAGTACTGTACATACAGTAAGAAAGAAATTGGCAAAATTTCAGCTGTAGTAAGTCAGTCT